TCTTTAGCTTAAAAACCGTGCTCAATACAACAATCACAGCTTCATAATAATAGTTCTAGGTAATATATATCAGCTCTTATCTCGAAAGACCCCCGAGTGCCATTGCTAGGCTGAACAAAATCTGACTGTGGATTGAAGATGAAACTCTATTCATTTGTGAGTCTCAAATTGATCTTACTATACTAGTGTTTGTGACATTTATATTCTCATTAACTTTTTTTTTAAAGATTTTTATTGGGGAATTGGGGGATGGGAACAGCGCTGGGGAATTGGGGGAAGGGAAACAAACAAGTTGCTGTCCTTTTGTTCTTCAGTCTAGTTGTGGAGGACGTTGCTTCACTGGCCCAAGTTGGCAACATCATTGCGCTCTTTCCGGGTGAGGCAGATCAGTTGCCGGCTTCTGGATGGCCACTCATGCTGGCTGCTGGCTACACACGGTAGCCCATGGCAACCCACTGCAGCAGGGGCTGCAGCCTATGCCGTCGCCAGCGACTCATGGCAGCCCAGCTCCAAGTTGAGCTGTTGTTCAGCATCTTAGCTGTAGAGGGCAGTGTCACTGGTCCTCATATGTGGGATCTGAACCAGGGCCCTCTGGCATCCCAAGCCAGCTCTTAACCAATGCACCACTTGGCCAGACTTCTCATTAACTTCTTATTCATCCAATCAATATTTATTTAGCATCTATTATCTCTTAAAAACTACCTTGTTCACCCAACCAAATGATACCACTTCTCCACCCATACTACTTCCTTTCCTGTGCTCTGTATTGCAGTAATTTCTGTTTGAGTCTTATCCCCTTATGAGATAATGAACACCCTGTAACAGCAGTACTAACTTAGTTATCTTTATAACCCTTGAATCTCCTAACCTCAAACTTATATATAGGAGACATTTATTAAACTAAATTTATTTAAAGATGAGGCTAAGATGGAAAAGTGTCCTGGATTCACTTTTCCCTAATTTTAATAAGTAAATAAAGATTTAAAAGTCACACTCGTAGAAATTGATTATACTATAATGTGTTAATAAAACTGCAGTTATGGCATTTGATATTTACCTTACTAATAAATGAGTATATAGGCCTGATTTTAGAACTGAATCATTTGACCAACACCACGGATATTTCTAAACAACTCTTTATTTCCTAAAAAATAAACAAGAAAAAGTAATTAAAGGAACCAATTAATTGCTTTTCTTAGTGTTTTATTCTTGTAAAAATGGACTCCTTTGAAAGTGTGTGATTAGTGTAACTTGTATATCATTCCTAACCAATTCTTTAGAACGCTACTTCAGATACTTGATCATTATTCTTTGTCTAGTTTCATCCTCTGTTTCTTTTAAGAAGATAAAATCAACGGAGATGCAGATTTTCTACACCCATATTTTTCTGTCTTTATGGTCATAATTAATCATTACAACCAAGCTTACCCTAGGCATTATTTTCCCTAGAAAACTTGGCCAAAACACTCAAATGAAGGTAGTGCTATTTTTTATTCAAATCATTCACCTCAAGCTGTTTCTTTCTCTTCTTTATAAAAGAATAGCATCATGCCGTTGAATAATATTATATGTCAAGCATAATTTAATACATATATAGTCGTGGGATGTGGAGTATAGTGTGGGAATAGAGTCAATGGAATTGTAATAGATATGTACAATATCGGGGGTGGGGGGCAATAGATGGGGGGAGGGGGGTTGTCATTTTGTGAGGGGTGAAAAGGATAACTACTGCATTGTTTCGTATACCTAAAACTAATAATAACAAAATAAAATAAAAATTTAAAAAAAAGAGATAACAGAAGAGACAATGGTGGCTACACAAAGTTACAGAGGATTTTTATGAAAATAAAAACATTCATCAAGTATACATCTAATTGCCTATTTCACTGAAAGAGAAAATAAGGCCTAAAGAAAAGACATATGGCAACATTCAACTTCCTTCATCAAATATAATTATGGGGGCAAAAATCTGTATTCTGTTTCACGAAGTAGAATTATATTATGGTTTGATTACATTAAGAAAAACAAGAATAGCATCAGATATACAGAGACACAAGGTGTGTTCTTCATACAAATTCAAGTCACTCCATTTTAATTTTTTTAATGAGATAGTCTTCACTGTAGCTGAGATGATGAAAGCCATGTAAAACAACAACAGTGATGTCAATTTCACACTATCATTTTTTTTTTAATTAGATAAATGACACTCTAGGTATAGGATACTTTACTATGGAGTATAAATTGGATTTTTTTTCACAGAGAAACTTCCATCTAATGGTGGATGCTTGCCAGAGGAACCAAGATCTTTTCTTAAACTATAGCCACCCAAGGTCAGGGTGGTGAGTGTTCAAAGGCAATGAGGCCTTCGCAACAGTGTGTGCAGCATATTTGTTTTTTCCCAGCCAGGATCTGGCTCAGCAAAATGTGGTGTTCTTTCTAGCATCACCAGCCAGGTAAATAAATCTGCAGATCACTGCTCCCTGAGGCCCTCAGTTCCCAGAATGTTGATGCATATCAAGCTCTGCAAGGCGTTTTCTGCCAGGATTTTTGTCACTTTCAGTTCTTTGTGGTTTCTATAAGTCATCAGCCCTTGAAAATGTATTACATAAGCTTTAATTTATTACATTTCTTTGGTACGCAATCAGGAACTGACAGTGATTTCTTTTGGAGACACCTACTGCAGAATTTCCACTGGTCTCACATCCTTTGAACATTTATAAGTGTTTACACTTATAAATCAATTTTAAAGAAAGCAGATGTAATTGACTGAAGCTACACAGAAATCACAAGCTGAGAATGTTGAGTCAGAAGATGCAGGATGAGTATGGAGGCTTAAAATGTGTGCAAAAATTGCTTAAATTGCCACATCAGAGAAATAGCAAGAGATAAATAATGGATAACCCAGTGGCAACAATTCCTGCTGAAGTCAAATAGTAGGACTCTCTATTAAACTCAATAATAGTATAAAGTTTCCCAGCTGTGTACCAACCATCCTGTTCCTTGATAATTGTCTCTTGCACAAACTTTAGCTGAGATCCCCCCAAAATAAGAGTGCTCCAGCCTACTCAGTCATACTAAATCATTTGGGTTTGGATTACTCATTAAGACAACTAATTAAGCTCTTTCTTTACTGAACTGTCTTTATAATCCCATCTATTTATTGCTTGTCTTCATCTTTATGGTGAGATTGTCAAGGGAAATTTGCTTTAGATAAACTGTAGATGAGATAAATTTGGCAATATAAAACATATAGAAATGCTATGTAAAACATTACAAATACATAGATAAGCTTCCAAGAAAGTAAAGAAAATATTCAGACTAGAAAGTGACTGAGCCAAAGGAAGTTACTAGCTTGGGTAACCTGGCTGGGGATTTAATGCTCACCTGAGAACAAGAACTTTAAGCTCAATCATGGCAATAAATTATACCTTAGATACCATATTAAGCCAGACTACTGAAGGGTAATACCCCAGTAAAAGAGAAGAGTAGAAGAGAATCTACTACCTGTACAAGAAATCAACTAAGTGTTTTCTGTCTTGGCCTGGGCTTAATGTGATGAGGGAGATATCTTCTGTGAGGATTTGTCATTACAGCCTTCTTTAGACAGATTGTATTTTGAATTTATACCATCCACTGTGATCTGGAATCCGGAAACTGAGAAATCATGAAAGTGGCCCTAGGCTAGTGATAGCAAAATTGCAGTATCTGTTTGAAGCAAACACAAAACACCTTTGAAGGGATATTGGTTGAGAATATTCCAGAATTTTTTATAGCAATTCTCATAGTCAGGAAGCACAACAAATCCTGAACAATCCATAAACAAAAAGTAAAAATCCAAACTTATGGTAGTAAAACTATAGAAACTTAAAGACAAGGAGAAGGTCTTACGTGTAATCAAAAAGAAAGCATGAGATAAGCAGTGATTCCATTTCACTGATAGCCATGTATGCAAGACTTTTCCAGCACAATTCACATGTTCTGGATTTAAACAGGATTTTCCTGTATTTCATACACAATTCACTAATTTACAAAAAAATATTTTTAAAGGATATTAAAATACTAAAAACAATTTAATTTTTTCTTTGGTGATGAAAATCTTATGTTGTACTGTTACCTTTGAGGACACCAGTTACAAAGCTCCTCATTGTTAACTATTATAGATTTCTTTCCAGTGAAGGAAATTTTCTGTTTTACAGAATATAAGAGTTTTAATTACTAATGCAGAAATAAAGTTATGCAATTTTTAAGTCCCATTATTCCTTTTTCTTAAAATTTCTGAGTTTCTAATTTCCTAAAAATCCCTAAAAGCATTCTTAGAAAAAAATTAAATGAATCTAGCAGAAAGAAAAGTCTCTTGGTGATATTTTGTCATTATTTTTATTATAAGAAAATATTGTTGTATCCATATGCAGGAGAAAATTAACTAAGTATTTCTGTGGCATCCATCAGAGGTGTCTAAAAAACAGAAAAATCTTACTTGCTGCTCACAACAACAATCCAATCTACTCACAGAAAATCATTCTTACCAGTGAAAGACCCCTAACAGTTTATCGTGCATTTCAATAAATCATCAGTAAATTAAATACATCTAAATTCTTTGGACCAAAATCACTTTAAGTTTCTTATAAGAAACTTATATATGTATATATATATATATATATATATATGTATAAACTCTTGGTTTGTTTTATAACTTTGTCATTCTCTTTGAAGGGATTATACCATAGTAGTTTTCTGACACAAGGTATAGTGAAATAATTGGTCATTTATATATACAGTGATTGAAGTTAGAGGTTTTTTTACTTTAACCACTTAATTTCAATGTGGCTTATAAATTTCTTCTAATTAGAATAACTAATTTTTACAGAAAAAAAGTGTATCTGTTTTTCATCATGTTTCCACAAGGAATTATGCTCAAATAGTTAAAAGTCTATTTTTTAAAAACATAATCATTCATTAAAGTTAAATTGGTTTTCTCTTATTTCCTTATATCTTCACAGATTGTAAGTGTTGGAAAACATGTTAAAGGCTATCATTATATCATTGCAAATTTGGTAAGAACTCTTTATTTTCTATTTTTCATAAGAATTTTGATTATTTCAGCTGTGCCCTAAAATAATGCTCCAATAAATGATTACAGTATATTACTTATAAAGCTTTTTATAACACAGGATAATATTTTTATTACAATGATCATTATAATGCTAATGTAGTATTCAATATATTTTAATGCAGTTTAGTTTGATATCTGCCAAAGTGACCTTTAAAACTAATTACAATGTTTGCTTTACTATGATATCATTTGGCAAATTAAGTAATGGCCTTTTCTCTGTGTAAATGATAAATGTGCTACTGTATGAATAAAGATTGCCAGTACTTAGCAGTATTACCAGAATGATCGAAACTGATGACTCATATTCTCTAATTTTAAGGAAAACAAGATTAAAATGGCTATTTAAGAAACCTTTTGATTGTAACTCAAACTTTTTAATTATGTCTATTTTTCACACATTAAATATAGTTGATTATTGCACAAGATACATGCTTTTGTATAAAATTCTTAAAGGCCTTAGGAAAGTCCTTTTAGATTTCTTGGCAAGGATCACTATGTATTTCTTGTTAACTCTGCAGAGTAGGGGGAAAACTAGCCATGCAGAGCACCATCCTCCTTGCTTTATTAGAGCACTATCTGCCCCAAGGGCTTGACCTCAAAAGTATTTTATCTTAAATAAGTTCAGGATGTTTTATCCATTTTAACTTTTCCCACCACATATTTCTTTGATGAGGATCTTGTGCTTGAAGAAGAAAAGTAGTCAAAGGCCACAAAAGAGATTGAGATGTATGCAATCCCTTCATGTGGCAAGTGGGCCATCACACCATCACACTTTGAGAAAAGAATTTTCAGTCTTTAGTGAACTGGATTTCATTATGGTGTAGGATATTAAAATGCAGCAGTAAACTGTGAACTCATTGTGTTTCTTAAATAAAGTATAATTAAGCTACTTAATAGAGTAGCATGAAAACACTGAGAAATTTTGATATGTCTATTCCATTACTTTTAGTAGGCCCATAGTCTGGGTGTTTTAATATATTTTGTTTTATATATGTAGCTTAAAGTTAATATACTCTGGTATTAATCACTATAAGAGAAAAATAACCTTATGTTTATGGAATGTCTATATTCACATTGACATTATACAAGGAGATTCTAGCAAAAAGAAGGTTTGACATCTATGCCTTCCAAATGATGGAATTCAGGGGGGAAAAAGTCAACATGTTATAGATTGACATGCCATAAATGAATTGCTGACATTAACAATTCACGTGGAAAGAATTAATGGTTATAACATTCTAATGGGTGTCACAGCCTGTTTTAAACAGCTCTAGTAGATGGTAGTATATTTAAGTTATCTTTATGATTAAGTAACAACATAGGAAGTAGAAAAAAATTATGCTTGTATTATGGAATATAACAATCACTCTCACTAAAAATAACCACACTTTTACCATGTGTACTTGATATTGTTATAACACATGACTTGGCCAGTAACTCATGCATATGTATCAACATTATAATATAATGTATTAATATGGATTCTATTGATTTATTCATTTACCCTTAGATACCTGCAACTTTCAAAACCATAGTGATTTTTGTTTCAACATCTATTTTTTTAGAACTAACTATGTGCATAGGTTTTCCAGGTGTGAAGTTAATACAATATCAAAACAAATATTATATTATTATTATACTTAGTGTTGAAAAATTGAATGATTTTCCCCTAAGGTCAGGAACAATACAAGAATGTCCTGCTCATCATTTTGATCAAACACTGTATTGAAGTTTCTAGCAAATGATATTGGGCAAGAAAATAAATAAATAAAAGGGATCCAGATTGAGAAAGATTTTATGTATACAAAATTCTAAGGAATCTAATTAAAAAAACTATGAAAACCAATAAATGGATTCAGCAGGGTTGCAGGATATAAGGTCAATATATAAAAATCTGTGTATTTCTATACACAGGAAAATTTTATCTGTTGATTCACTGTGATCTGTTTTTTAGGGTTTAAAGAAAATTGCTTCTGGGACTGGCTGAGTGGCTCAGTTGGTTAAGAGCTCTCTCAAGAGTTTGAGCTCTGAGCAACAGCAGTTCGAGTCCCAGCCCAAGCTGAGCAGCCGCGGAGCTGCCAACAAGTGGCAGGATGGCTCAGCTAAAAAAAAAAAAAAAAAAATAGGAAAAAAAAGAGAAAAGAAAATTGCTTCCCTACTTTGTCCCTAAACTGTCTCCTTCCCAGTTCTTTGTTTACTTTACTCCCTGTTAGATTTT